CCCACCCACACCCACACCCACACCCCTCACCCACACCCACACCCACCCACACCCACACCCAAATAAGATAATTATGATAAGGACTAGAGATCGAGCGGATCATAACTTTGCTTCATTCATCACAGTCGTCCGTGATGCATCAAAATGGCAACATATAAAAAAAAACATGCAAAGAAAAAAGGCAAGTTTTTTGACTCAACATTTCAGATTCAAAATTCGATATTTTTGCCTTTAGGGTAAGAGAACTGCAGGACAGAGTTGTATTCAATAGGTGACAGAGTAGACGATCGAAATTTAGATTTCATAAGATTTTTTATGTTATACATTATGAATTTTCAAGGTTATCTATTTTCGAACTGCTCACAAGATTCTATGCCACTCTGCTCGACATTATGTACTGGAGAATTGCATGGAATTTAACTAAAAATGCTTAGGAACTTATTGAAAAATTTCAACAGATTCCAAAAAAATAAGTTTTGGTAGCTGCTGGCCTATGAATATCTTTTTATCCTATCCTTCCATCGGTATCTACTTCTGTAGTCTTTTCTTAGCGTGCAAATTTTAACGAAATGGTTTTTATTATTTATGCAAAAGATTTTCTAAAAAGAATTTTTTCTTGAAAATTATTTACATGTATTTTCATATTCTATTTATTTTAGAATGTTGATTTGATCATATGTAACTCTAATAAATAGCAAATATTGATTTCAAATATTAAACAAAAAATGAACTCTACACCAAACATTAACATAGTACTGTTAAAACGCATATAATGTGAAAGATGACGCAATAAGTAGGTCAAACAATAACCGTCAACCTGTCGCACCCATCATTGTTCATCATTTTCAGAAATAACGTATTTAGTGAGTAATAGAATCAACCTTACTGCATCAGAATTATTCTTCTGTGTGTTAGCATGACAACCACTTGTAAAAAATGAATCATTCTTGTACACGTATGTTGCTCTCTCTTGAAGGAAGCTGAATTCAAAGAAAAGAAAGAAAGAACTGACTCATCTACATAAAGGTATACAAATTGAGATGCAATTCATATTTTGTAATAGCAAATGCATTTTTTTAACAATTATCAATGCCAGAAATCTTAATTAACAATAATAATATCTCAACACAAGATTCGGCGCCTTGCCCAATCTACATGTGTCAACTGTAAGTTTTTATAGAGTAACTGTCTTTAAGATGAATTGGATAGTCTATGACGAATTTCATGTATGACTATACATCTTAAATAATTACTCCTTAGAAATATTATTTGAGAAGAAAATCATAAATCAAATTATATAATGAACTGTTGAGCGAGCGAGAGAAAAGAGACATTTAAAGAGGAAAATATAAAAATGTTATGATTATTCCTGATATGTTGAATAGTTTGAGATAACTTCAATATTTCAAAATATATTGAAACTACTTTTTCACATGTAGATCAAACAAGAATGAAATAAAAGTCAAACAATCATGTGCCGTATGTATGGAATCGAAATTCTGGATAGATTTTGCAACACAATACAACAGTAACTGTACCCATTCAAGTCGAACAATCTGTAATAATTGTATGTATGAATATTTGCGTAATAATTGGAATATTGGCTCCGAGATTTCTTGTCCGGAATGTTCTATTCCTTTATCTCATAATGCCATTAAATTGATTCTCTTCGAGAATGATAATATTACTCTCTACAATCGTTATACACAATTTGAACTTAATAGAATTCTTGAACAAAATCTCGAATTTATTTGGTGTGCACATGGATGTGGTTCTGGTCAATTGAATGAAGGTGCAACAATGAATAATATTATTGAATGTGTTAATTGTCATAAATTAACTTGTTTCGCTCATAAATGTCCATGGCATGATGGAATAACATGCGAAGAATATGATATGCCTCGAACTGATGGACAATTACATGCTAGTGAACGTTGGATCAAGGTGCATACTAAAGAATGTCCTAAATGTCACTCTCATATTGAGAAAAATGAAGGTTGTGATCATATGACTTGTTTGAAATGTAAGCACGAATTCTGCTGGGAATGTTTAGTTCCTTATTCAGGTATTAAAAGGCATGGTGCTTACTTACATGATCGTAAATGTAAACATTACCCTGCTACAGAGACACGAAGTATTTTCAAGCGTTTTATTGATCTCTTCTAGAACTCATTGTTTGTTTGTTTATTTTTCTGGTTTCATTCGAATATTTTGAATGAATCAAAAATCAATGAATTGTACTCATGCTAATCTCATTAATTCACTAGGTATATAGTGATAAAAACGATTCAAAATGAATGATGCAAGAGAGACCTACAAAAATGCCCAATGAATCGATTATTGATAGAAGACTCATTAATAATTGTTCAATGCCAAAAAAATCTTCACTCTATGCGCCACTAAAATGTCGTTGCCACTACTTTTGGATACTCCTACGTAATAATACAATAAATTCATTGGTCTTGTCTTCAAGATTGTTATTCTCGTATAGTTTTCGAAGACATAAAGTAGCTTGTATTCATCGTGTATTTTTTCAACTAATAAAAGATTTGTAACTAGGGTATGGGTGTGGGTGTGGGTGTGGAGTGTGGGGTGTGGGTGTGGAGTGTGGGGTGTGGGTGTGGGTGTGGGGTGTGAGTAGAGCGTGGGTGTGACCCTTCTCTACACTTACACTCACACCCACACCCACCCACACACCCACACCCACACCCACCCACACTCACACTCACACCTACACATCCACACTATCCATACACCCACACCCACACCTACACCCACACCCACACCTACACCCATCTACACCTACCCACACCCACACCCCACACCCACACCCACACCCACCTCATGAATCTCGTATGCCGTCTTCTTCTTGAAAA